ACTGATTATTCCTTCCATTCAAAAACTGTCCCCAGTGATTGTTCATGGCCCAAGTGTCTAAGAGTCAACCTTCATTCTCTTGGAGCAAATCATGTTGTTGCCTTGTTGTTTTGTATCAGTCCAGCAGATACCCCGGGCTGGAAATCCTAGTAAGTTTGTAACTACCGTCCGTCCGTTAGTGCAAGAATGATCTTTATGTGACCTTCCTAAGAGAAGATTTTAGACTAGATAACAGGGTCCTGCCTGGGGGATTGCAGAGAGCGAGAGAGAGATGATAGAAGTTAGGGGTGGAGTATGGGGGGAAGAAAAGAAGATGGCTCTCCTCTCCCCGTAGCAAAGTCATAAAGCAGGTGATGTTGATTTTCATAGGGAGGCTTGGGTTCTGGTTCTAGCCTCGACCCAGTTTGCTGTGGAGTGAACTCCTCCAGGCTGTCAGGTTCTTCTACTATAATATGCCTGTGGTGGACAGATTCTAAGGTGGCCTCCACAACTCCTGCATCCTGGCATTTGTGCCCTTGTATAACCCCTCCCTCTGAGTGTGGGTGGAACCTGTGACTTGCTTCGAACCAATAGAATATGGTAAAGAATATGGTATGATGCTACTCTGATGATTATGTTGCATTAGATTACGTTATGTTTTCTGAGACTGTCTTGCTAGAAGATTCTCTCTGTTGCTGGTTTTGAAGAAGCAGTTCTCGTGAATTCTATAGACAACAACCTGAAGGAGTTTGGAAGCAGATCCTTCCCTAGGTGAGCCTCCAGATGAGTACTCAGCCTTGACCAGTGTCCTTACTGTAGCCTGTGAGACCCTAACCTGAAGTCCCACTAAGCTGCACCCATACCTATGATCCACAGAAACTGAGATAATACACATGTATTGTTTTAAGTCACTAAGATTGTGGTAATTTGTCATACAACATAAAAAAACTAATACAATGCATGATTTTTAAAAATGCTGGTTAAATTAAAAAAATTGGGGATGCCTGGGTGGCTCAGTCAGTTAAGCATCTGACTCTTGATTCCAGCTCAGGTCACGATCTCAGGGTTGTGGGATCAAGCCCCAACTCCGGCTCTGCTCAGAGGGGAAACTGCTTGGGATTCTCTCTCCTTCTCCTTCTGCACCTCCCCCCACCCCACACAAGCTCTCGTGCATGCTCTCTCTCTCTTAAATAAATAAATAAATCTTAAAAAAAATATTATACTGAATGTTGAAGAAGATTTGGTGAAATCTGTATACCTACATTGTTAATTGGTATTAACACTACTTTCTCTTGTTATGCAAGTTCTCAAACACAAGCAAAAGTAGGGAAAGTGGTTATAATTAACCCAAGTACAACCATAGCCTACATTCAAAAATTAAGATATTTTCATACTTCATTTATCTCTCTCCCTTTTGTATGATAATTTCAAAACCCGAGACATCATGTCATTTCCCTCTACATAATTCAAATATGCATAGTTGAAAACAAATGGCAAATTTCTTTACATAACCACCTTGCCATTAGTACACCTAAAAATCTTAAGAATAACCATGTATCAGCTACTGCTCAGTCCATATTCAAACATCTCCAATTACCTAAAGAATATCTTGACATTAATACATTATAATATGAAGCAATATGTAATGAGTACCTTAAATATGTTCCTATTCTTTGATCTAGGATGGCTATTCCTGAAGGTTTATCATAAAGAAAAAATTCAAAAGATGATAAAGGCATGATATCTATTAAAGAATTATTCATAATGGTGACAAATTGCAAATAACTCAGATATATAGTATATGAGTCATGCTATATTCTGGAAAACACAGTCCTCATCAGTGTATCAATAGTGGGAGAGTGATTACAAAGATGTTAGGATATGAAGCAGTTCAGACATTGGCAACAGTAGGAAATTTCTACCACCCCTACTGGGGAAGGGAAAAGGGGGGAAGGAAGTGGTAATACCTGAGCCCAGAAATTGGAGCCACATCCAGAGGGGTATTTGAAGAGACCAGAACCAGAGAGACATAGCTGTCACTGGGATACTTTCCACATGCGGGGGTGGGAGTGGGGGATCTCTGGCTTCTCTCTTTCTCCTTGCCTCCAGTCTCCTGTAAGTGTCTCCTATTGGCTAGATCCAGCCAGAAACCAGGGGCAAGGGATGCTGGGAATGAAGTTTTCAAGGTCAGCTCTCTGTGGGACAGAGGGCCCTCTCTAACCTCTGTATTAGGAGCCCAGTCAGGTTTGGGGAGGTCAGTGAATGGATCTGAGAGCGAATAGGCATAAGTCTGGCACATCAACAAGGACCCTAAAATCCTTCCAGAACAAGATTAGGGCTAAAAATATCCAACAAAAAGATAATTACTAACTTATGACACATCCACCCAGTGTGTTCCTTGACCATTGAGATAAATATGAAGATTGTGTAGCAATATAGAAAATACTTATACTGAATTATAATACATTATTACCTTTCTTTGCTTTTTCTTTTTTTTTATACCACCTATCACTTTGTAAAATAAAAAATAAATCTAACTATTTATCATGTGTATTGTTTGTTGATGCCCTACTCCTGTTAGAAAGTTAGTTCTGTGAGGGGAAAAAAAACTTTGGTTTTTTTGTTTGTTGCTATATCTTAAGTGAACAGTTCCTGAAACATAGTAGGTGCTCAGTAAATATTGTTAGTATGAATTAAGTGATGTGAACAAAGCAGAATACAACACCCACTTTACAAGGTTGTTGTAAGAATTAAATGAGTTGGGATCACTAGCACATAGTAAATATTTTGTGTACTTAGTAAAGGTCAGTTTTGCCTAAGTAGGAGAGAACAGATGGAAAAGGAAAAGTTGAAAATCCACTGGACTGTGGTATCTATTTGCAGAGAAGGGTCCACCCCAAAAATGAAGATAGAAAAATCACCCTTATAATCCCCGAAAATCAATGTGTTGTGATGAGCAGAAGCTTGGACGTGTAGTTGGCCCTGCCACTTACTAGCTCTGTGCCCTTGGTCAAATTACCTAACCTCTCTGGGTAGTATTTTCCTTATCTATTAAATGGGAATAACAGTAACACCTGTCTCACTGGGTTGTATAAATACTGCCCAGCACAGGGCTTGGCACATACTGGATGCTCAGTAATGCTGGTTACTTTAGCATTAGCCCATCCTTCCTCCAGGGAGTACAAGCCGGGCCTGGAGCTGTCCGAAGTGCTGAAGACATCCTCCCTCCCTCCCTCCCTCAGTTCCTTTGTCCTTCATTCTCCCCTTCCTTTCTCTACTTGGCTCCCCAGAGCCCTAGGGCTTGAATAGATCGAATTTTCCAAGTGGCTTCTTCATGCCCCTGAGGGGGACAGGGAGGAAATGAGCCATATATGAGGCACTCCTTGGACAAGAGGGCTGGGAAGCTGACAGGCAGCTGGAGCTGGAGTGTTAACCATGGGGATTGTGGTGGGAATGGGGGCTCCCCAGGCTAGAACCTACTTGAAGAGCTTGACATCTGAGACCCTGGTGCAGCAATCTTAGGATCCGCAAAGAGACAGTGAGTCAGCCCCAATGGCACAGCATAGCACAGCATGGCAGGTGGGTCCTCGGGGAGCTGCCCTGAAGGAAGGCAAGAAGGGCCAGGTTGGGGGGTGTGTGTCAGCAGGGTGACCCTTGGCTACAGGACCTGAAGGGGCCCTGGCTCTAACAGGCATCCTCCGTCCTCCTTCCTTGGGTTCCTATTACCTTTTTTTATTTTGCTCATTTGTCTTTTAATGCAGCCAAAGGCATCTTTATCTTTTTGGGTTCGGATACTATGAGTTGATTAATTCCATGGGCTTGGCTCTATGAGCCAAGCAATATGTGCCTAATCATTGGCATCCATCTCCTAGAGTCTAAAAATACAAATGGTTTTCCCAGAAGGGTGTTGAATTAACCCATTGTGCTGGAGGTGGCAGCATTGGCGGCTCACACACTCCTGGGGGAAGGGCTGACACATGGGACGTGGCCAGCTTCAGAGACAAAAACAAATCAGTTCCTGATTTTTACTGACAACTAGAGCACTAGAGCTGAAGGATCTTTGGGGACCTACATCTAAACTAAGCCCTCCCTGTACAGACGGGAAAACCAAGGCACAGAAAGGGATGTGGGCTCTGTCCCACAAGTCGGGAGCAGAGCTGGAGCTAAAAGTAGCCTCCCGCCTGAGTTCTCTGAGCCCCTGCATGCCATCTGCAGGATTCCTGGGACGCTGAGTGTGGCCAGCGGGACCGTGGGGCCAGGGGAGCTTGCTGCTGCTTTGTGAGACTGAAGGAAATCCATATGCCTCTGTGCCTCAGTTTCTCCATCTGTACACAGAGGGGTTGGTTTAGATGTTTAGGTCTTCAAGGATCCTTCATCTGTGATGTTCTAGGTGTTTGATAAAACGGGGGTTATTGTCTTTGGTTGGGAAGTAGGAAGCCAAGCTCCAATTCCAACTCAGCTCTAACTTTTGGCGAGAGCTCGGACATCACATGGCTGTTCCACCAGAGTCAGTTTCCTCCTCTGAAGAAGAGGGTAAAAGGTCTCTTCTTGGGGGTCTCGGAGAGGACAAGGCAAAGTAGTGGATCACAGGTGCTTTGGAAAGTACAAATTAGGGGGGAGGCAGTTGTCATTCGTATCAGGCGAGTAGGCTTACGTTTCCAACCGGAAACAATTAGCTCTCTGGGAGCCCTGAACGAGCCCAGCTGCTCCAGAGGGGTTCATCCCGAGGGGTGGGGTTGCTAGGAGACACATCATGACAGAGGAGGAGGGAGGGCCCAGGGTGCTCCTCGGAGGCTGGCAGGAGAGCAGCCCTCCCCAAGTCCCTGAGCCCGGAGCGGGGAGAAGGGTAGCATCCCAGGGTTGGCCAGCACTGCCGACTGGCTACTCTCCCAGATAGGGAGGCTGAGCCCTCAAGTGGGGGCGGGGGCAGGGGCAGGGCTGCGGCTGAAACTCAGGCCTCCACCTCCCTGTCCAGCTCTTTCTACACCAGAGTAGCCCGGCCGCTCCTCAAAGATCCCAAGATGGTGATGATCGTGGCAGTGACAGTGCTGGTGATGATGGTAACTCTTCTGAGTAAGTACCCTCGTACTCCCATTCAGCAAGTACTACTTACTACTTACTTACTTCCCTACCATAATGATAGCCCCAGTGTAGATACTCTACGCATTTTAGTTTTTGCCACAATATCTGCCAGATAGCTACTGTCATCTCCACTTTACAGACAAGAAAATGGAGGCCAGAGACGTTAAGCATCTCATCCAGGGTTAGGGACAAGTGAGTGATAAAATCAGGATTTATTCCGCTCTGTGATTCCAAGGACCTTCTTACTCCTCTGCACTGAACATAATTTCCTTTTTTTTAAAGATTTATTTATTTATTTAAGAGAGAGAGCACAAGTGGGAGGGGCAGAGGGAGAGGGAGAGAGACTCTCAAGCAGGCTCCGTGCTCACACGGGGCTCGATCTCACAACCCTGAAATCACGACCTGAGCCGAAACCCAGAGTTGGACGTTTAACCAACTGCACCACCCAGGCGCCCCTGAACATAATTTCTAAGGACCTCCTCTGCACAGACCATTGCTGTTGACATTGAGAAGTCATCCCCTTACTCTCCTGACCTGCACTTCCAAGCGTAAGCTGCTTCCAGCTTGCCTCCCCTGGGAAGCCCTCCCTAAGCTCACAGCACCTCCTTACTGGTCCTGCTTACTGCCTGCACTTGTGGTCAGCTCTTCTCTTGGCTGGAACTTACATCCCTACCGGCCCGGCAGCTTCTTAAGGGTGAGATTGGATTTTATCCATATGGGGCACCCAGAGTGGAAGGCTGCTGGCTGCACTAAGGGGGTGGGAGGACTTGGCCAAGGGCTGTGCCTGGGGAATGGGCCATGACCAGGCTGTAGGCAGAGGCCAAGCAGAAGTGGCAGGGTTGCAAGGTGGACACCGAAGTCCTGGGAGAGTGGGATGGAGTGGGAGGTGCTCTAGTCCAAATGTCCTTGTCAAGGAGGTCCTGTGTGGGGTGGAGGATGAGTTAGAGAGATTGTCCTCATCCTGGCTCTCTGCCAACTCCATTCAGTCCCCCTTAGTTTCCTCGTCTGTACCGTGGAGACAGAATGACCTTTGTCTGAACAGGGCTGTGCGGATTAGAGAGAGGACTGTGCACGTGCATTGTAAACCCACTTACTACAAACACGCTTGTGCTATGGGGCCCGGAGTCCAGCGGAGTCAAGAGCTGGGGGATGGTGCTGGGCGGTGGTGCTGGGCTTGAGGGGATGGGGCAGGGGAGTCTCAGAGGGGCACCAGGAGAACTGGCCCGACTGGGATGAGTGCAGGACACAAACAGATAATAGGTTGAGAAAAGCAGGATTTATGGAACACCAAAGTACCAGGGACTGCACTAAGTGCTTCATGTCATGCCCACTTAATCATCGCAGTCCCTGCATAAAGTAGGCTTTGTTTCCCACATTTCTATAGAAGACGGGAGTGAGGGTCAGAACCTCAGAGATGGGTCTAGGGCAACAAGGCGGGGAAGCAGTGAGACAGGGCTGGATAGCTCTGACTCTGGAGCCCACAATGAGTGACTGAGCTTCAGCCCAGGATCGTGCATGGGCATCACCAGGCTGTGAGTCGGTCTTGGGGAGGATGTTAGGCCCCTAAAGCAGGGTGGGAGGAGTCTTCAGACATGATGGGTCCAAATCCCTCATTTTATCAGTGAGGAGGCTGAGGTTCTGGGGAGCAGTGCCATTTGCTTCAAAATCACACCGGGAGTAATGGCAGAAAGTGCTAGAGCGCAAACTTTATTCTTGTCCCCCTTTCCCAGGACTTACAGGGGGGCTTGTACCCTGAAGGTTGGTGCCGGGTGCTGCCACACGAGAAGATGTGCCTGCCCTCCCAGGGCCCATGGGCGGCCACTGTCAGTCATCCGAGGACAGCCTTTTTCCCTCCTCTTCTCTCTGTGGTGCTTTGGGGTGTCCTCCTGTGGGTTGGCTCCCTCCCCGATCTGGCCCTGGGGGCAGGGACCTTCACCTTAGGGGTGCTGGGTCCCTGGGACTGTGACCCCATCTTTGCCCAGGCCCTCCCTAGTGTGGCTGCCCAACTGGCTGTGGACCAAGCCAACTGGGATTCCTCACTGGTGCTGGGTTCAAGGCTGGTTTCCGTGGTCCTCCCCACAGGCTGTGACACCCCTCATGCCCTGGCCACGTTCCTGACCCACAAGAATACCACAGCTGCCTTGTGGGCCCTGTCAATCCCGGTTACTGCCAAGCAGCAGCCCTGCTGGCTCAAGGCTGGGGCAAGATGCTTTTCTCTTGGGCGTGCGGAGCTCCAGAAGGAGGAGGTGAGCTAGTGCCCACCTTGCCTTCGGCTGCCCATGTGCTGCTGTCTATCATGAGACACTTTGGCTGGGCACACGTGGCCATCATGTCCTCGGACCAGGACATCTGGGTGGCTACAGCCCGGCAGGTGGCCATGACTCTCAGGACACATGGGCTGCCTGTGGGGCTGGTGACCTCTCTAGGACCCGGAGAGCAGGGGGCCACGGAGGTCCTGGAGCAGCTCTGCAGCGTGGACGGCCTGAAAAGTAAGTGTACCTGGGTGCCTTCCTCCTGTGGGCACAGGACTTCCTATGGCCACGAAGACACTGGCCTGAGCCCTTGACCACAGCCCTGCAGTTAATCTCGCAGCAGCCTGTGAGCTAGTCCTGTTGAGCTCTGCACTTTGCAGCTCAGAGAAGGTATGTAACTGGCAAGCAGTGCGGACGGATTTTGAGCTCTGATTCAAGTGTTGGTTGTGGAGTGGGAGCCAAAGCTTCCTTGCTTCCCTCCTGGCACACTGAAGGAAACGAGAGCGAAGCAGTACTTGAGCCCAGGAAGGCAGCTAGAGTCAGAATCACTTTTTTTTTTTTTTTTTAAGATTTTATTTTTAAGTGATCTCCACACCCAACGTGGGGCTTGAACTTACAGCCCAGAGATCAAGAGGGGCATGCTCTCCCGACCGAGCCGGCCACTTCTTGCCTTTATCAAGCCCCTGCCGTGCCGAGTGCTGGGTCACGTGGGGGCACAGGACCGACAAGGGGTGGGTCTCCGGGGGCAATGATGTGATGGAGGGACAGGAGTATAAGCAGGTGGTTAACGACAGACAGGTCAAGGCCATCCGAGGGAATAGAGGCTTGGAGAATGAGACGAGGTTTAGGGCTTGGCCCTGGGCGTCTGAGGCTTCTTGGAGGAGGCGGCAAGTGCCTATCTTTCAGGAAGGCGTCAGCTAGGGAGAGGCACGGTGGGGAGACTGTAGGGCAGGGGCGGCTCCTGGAGAACAGAGGGACCTTAAAGTTAGTCTAGACTGGGGTTATTTCAAACTGTGGCTTGTGGCCCACTGGGGCCAAGAAACTGGCGAATCGAGACGAGCAGTACCAAAAAAGAAAGAACGGGGGAACTCAGTGGGAGAGAGAAAGTGGAATGGGACAAGAGGGGCCTGCAGCCTGCGCCCGAGGAGGGCGGGTGGGCAGCCCCCGAGCTCGTGCGGCCGAGAGCTCGCGCCAGGCGGACAGCGAGACCTGGCCCAGGCGTGCCCGCTTCCCGTTAGGAGCAGGACCTCACTTCTGTGAGCCCCGGTTTTCCAGTAGGTGAGATGGGGATAATGACAGTCACCTCACAGGGTCATGAGCAGCAGCTGCTTGTGGCTGAGCGCTTTGTCAACACCTCATTCAGCCAAGAGCCACTGAGCCCTGCCCTGGGCCCGAGGCTGGCTGGGCTCCAGGGAAGAGGGGGGGAGAGGGTGCCCAGGCCCCAGCCGTGAGGAGCTCCAGTCTGGCAGGAGCTGCTTCGCTTGGGGGTGGGGAGGGCTTCCCAGAGGAGGTGACACCAGGCAGGGCCTGAGAAGGAGAAGCTGATTGCAGGCGGCAATGGGGAGGAAGGCGCTCCAGGCAGAGGGACGAGCTAGTGCAAGGGGATGGAGTTACATGTCCATGGGACCGGGACAATGGACAGCTCAGTTCTGTGTAGCCGGAGCTGGGCGGCAAGGGGTAGGGGACACCTCATCAGACTCCTTCCCCACCCCTGTTGCAGAGTATTTAGTTCCAACCAAATTGCCGGCTTTCAGGAGCCAGGAGGCTGAGTGGTTCAGGGCATAGTCTTCGGGATCAGATTGCCGGAGGCACACTCCTGGCCCCAGCTCTTGCCAGCAGTGTGACCTCAGGCAACCCACTAAACCTCTCTGGGCAATAGTGTCCTCCCCGTGACGTGAGGCTAATAAACCCCCTGCATCCCAGTCCACGCTGCCTCCCAGGTTGTGGATATCAGCTTTCTCCTGTGGCCAACTGCAGACCAGCGCCCCCAACTTATCAAACAAAGGGTTTTTTTGATTAGAAGCCTTAGCCGACAGTGCAGAAGAGATGGGGCAAAGGAAGCGCTGGTTCTCTTTTTTCCCAGTCCTGGTGAGTGAGTCTCTGCGGGTCATCCCCTCTCCGCCGGCACAGGGAGCAAGAGGCTTGTGGCCCACGGCCTACACGGCATGGCCACCCAGGGGCTCAGCAGAGCCCAGGGCTCCAGGCTCTGACTTCCACATGACCAGGGGCCCCCAGGCACCAGCAAGGAGACCCCCCCAGCCTTCTTGGGTGGCTCTGTTTTCCTGGATTTGCTAGAGAAAGGGATTGCAGCAGGAACCTGAGTGGAGACCCTTTGTTGGCTGAGGTTGTAGCCCTGGTCAGGGACCCAGGTGGAGAAGAGGAAGGATACAGGGAACCCCTACCTTGGATAGATGTGTGAGACCCTTGCCTTGGGCAGGGGCTCTCTTCTGTCCTGGGGGCCTGGGGACGAAATTGGCTGCCTTATCACCAAGGGCCTATCTCTGTCACGAAGGCAAAGAGGAATGAGTTCATGGTAGGGGAGCTGACCTGAGAGTTAGGAGCAGCTCTCCCGGGCCACAGATCCTGGGCGTCGGGGAAGGCCAGCAGAGGCAAGCCTGCCGCTTCTCCCTGCCCCCCAGTTGTGGTGCTTTGCATGCACTCGGCGCTCCTGGGAGGCCCGGAGCTGACCGCCCTGCTGAGCCAAGCATGGACCCAGGGCCTGGCAGCTGGGAGGCTGGTCTTCCTGCCCTACGATACCATGTTCTTCGCCTTGCCCTACCGCAACCACTCCTACCTGGCTCTCAGCGACAGCGGACCCCTGCAGGAGGTCTACGACGCCGTGCTCACCATCAGCTTGGAGTCTGGCCCTGTGGACAAGGCCTCTGAAGCTGCCAGGGCCAGTGGAGAGGTGGCCGCCTACCTGGAGCCAGAGCAGGTGGGTCCGTCCGGGCCCTGCGAGGCAGGCAAGTTATGTGTGCCCCCCATGTACTCTAGGCCTTCCTGGCCTTGGCCAGCTACCCACCTGGCCGGCCAGCCCCAGCTCCACTGTGGGCACATGACCTGTCCCTTACTGGACAAAGTGTTCCTGCCTAGTCCCTAGGGATACTCTCTCCATCTCTAGTTCTCACTGTCTCTCTCTCTCTCTCTCGTGTCTGTGTGTGTGCGTGCACGTGCTTGCTTGTGTGTGGGTGCCTATTAATCGCTCTTGGCCCACTTCATCAATTCTCCCTCTCTTGTGACTTTTTGCTTCTATTTTTCTATCTCCAGCTCAGCGCTTGCAATTTTCATTTCTGGCCCAGCTGCTCTTTCTCTCACAAACATTCTCCCTCTGCATCTGCCTAGCAAATTGTGCAGAGCAGTAGGAGAGATGCTGGGGTGTGGGAGAATGGGAAGGTTTCCTGGAGTCACTGCTGTGAATCTGAGGGGAGCCAGCGGGGCGGGGGGTGTGGGTGCTGGCTCAGCTTTGGTGTACAGCACTCAGCCGCTTGAGTCCCACTTGGGATGTCTGTTTCTTGGTGACAAGAAGACGACCGTGTCTGGAGGTGATGATAGGGATGCAGATGCTGATGGAAGGTCTTATAACGAAGCATTCACCTGACAAATGTGAATTGGGTCCCTCTGCTGTGCCACTGGGCCAGGCCTCAGGGACACAGCAATGGATAAGACAGACCTGGCCTTAGGGAGCTTCCATTAGGGTGAGACAGATAATATCCAAGCAACCATATAACGAATTCAAATTGTGATAATGTCGCCAAGAAAATGAAACAGGATAAGGTGACAGAGAGTGGCCGGGATGGAGAAGTGGGCAACAGGAGTTAGGACAGGCAGGGGGGCCCACTGTGAAGAGGTGGCTCTTGAGCTGAGTCCTGAATGGGAAGGAAGCAGCCAGGGTGCAGATCTGGGTGAGGAGCGACCAGCCAGGGGCAGCGTTAGGTGTAAGGCCTGGAGGCAGAGTGAGCTTTGGAGGCTAGAGGAATAGGCAGAGGGCGTAGAGAGGCTGGACTGTCATGAAACGTGGGAACAGGGGTCTGAGATGAGCTTCGGGCCAGGCCACGTGAGGCATTTTACGCCAGGGTAAGGAGTTTCAAATTATACGTGAAATGGGAAATGATCAGCAGGTTTTAAGTAAGGAATAATTTGATTCATTTTTTTTTTAAGATTTATTTTAGAGACACAGAGAAAGAGAGAATGAATGGAAGGGGCAGAGGGAGAGGGCGAGAGAATCTGAAGCAGACGCCGCGCTGAGTGCACAGCCCAACCCCGGTCTCGATCCCATGACCCTGAGATCATGACAGGAGCTGAAACCAAGAGTTGGCTACCTAACACCTGCACCTAATCCAGGCACCCCTTGATTTATGTTTTTTAAAAAAAATCGCTTTGGGACGCCTGGGTGGCTCAGTTGGTTAAGTGACTGCCTTCGGCTCGTGTCATGATCTCAGAGTCCTGGGATCGAGTCCCGCATCGGGCTCCCTGCTCCTGCTTCTCCCTCTCCCACTCCCCCTGCTTGTGTTCTCTCTCTCGCTGTGTCTCTCTCTGTCAAATAAACAAAATCTTAAAAAAAAAATCACTTTGGTTGCCTGAGTGGCCTGAAGAGACCCCGATGAAGCAAGGAGGCCTTTAGGAGGCTCCTGTGTGGGCTGAGTGAGCAGTGAGGGGGCCTGGACCCAGGTGGCAGAAGCAGAGGGGGTGAGGAGTCAACTGGGTTGGGAATAAGTTCTGAAATAAAACCAAAAAGATTCAGGGCGCCTGGGTGGCTCAGTTGGTTGAGCGACTGCCTTCGGCTCGGGTCATGATCCTGGAGTCCCGGGATCGAGTCCCGCATCGGGCTCCCTGCTCAGCGGGGTGTCTGCTTCTCCCTCTGACCCTCCCCGCTCTCATGTGCTCTCTCTCTCTCTCTCTCTCTCTCATTCTCACTCTCTCAAAATAAATAAATAAATCTTAAAAAAAAAACCCCAAAACAAAAAGATTCAATGACGAATGGGAAGAGAGAAAGAGAGGAGTCGGGAATAAAACCTAGACTTGAGACACCAGGTGGTAGTTCCGCTCCCCAGAGTGCGGCAGGAGTGGGGTTTGGGCAACAGAACTAGACAGAAACCTTGAAGAACAGGAGTTCCATTTCGGACATATCAGGCCGGTTTGAGGTGCCTGTGCAGCATTGGAGTTGGTGGTGGCCAGGGAGACTGTGACACCACCGAGTGGGGACTGAGGTCGTGGTGGGACCACAGAGAGGGCTGCGTTGAGGGCAGGGTGGGGTGATAATCCACATGATTGTGGCTGGCAGGGCTCAGAGATGTCTAGGAGTCAGTGCCATGGGGTTGAGGGGTTGAGGGACCTTCTCTTCCACAGGTGTCCCCGCTCTTTGGGACCATCTATGATGCTGTTGTCCTGCTGGCCCATGCCCTGAACCGCTCTCAGAGCCATGGTGCCGGGCTCTCAGGGGCCCACTTGGGGGACCACACAGGGGCTCTGAACGTGGCTGGCTTTAGCCAGAGGATCCGGATGGATGAGAAGGGCAGGAGGCTGGCTCAGTATGTGATTTTGGACACAGATGGTCGGGGAAGCCAGCTGGTCCCCACCCACATTCTGGACACAGGCACGTGGCGAGCGCAGCCCCTGGACAGGGCCATACACTTTCCAGGAGGGGCCCCTCTGGCACGTGACTCCAGCTGCTGGTTTGACCCCAATATGCTGTGCATGAGAGGTAATTCATCATCCATCCATCCATCCATCCATCCATCCATCCATCCATCTAGCTGTCCATCCATCTAATGCATTTTCCTCTTCCTGGAGTGCTCCCCACCTTGCCTGGTTAAATCTTATTTGTCTTACCTGTCAGGGCTGGGACCCCTCTTCCGTGATCCCCACAGCACCTGGGTGAATTGCTTTATGTTCATAGGGTGTGTGCCCGCGCTGCGGAGGACCAGTGTCACCTGTTCCCTCGACTAGCAAGTAGCTCACGAAGCTACCTTCCCCTAATTGTTTCTTTGCCCCTCGTCTTCCACAAATGCTGCTGGAGGACCTCCCACATGTCAGGCACTGTGCACAGCCCCAGGGATATAGGAGTGAATGAAATGATGTCCCTGCCCTCATAGAGCTGATGTACTTGAAGACCAGCCCCAGGGCCTGCTTTCCAGGGGCCTCTGTCTGGTGGCAGAGACAGGGACAGCTGAAAACAACACAACACAGTGTGATCAGAGCCATGAATGGGGAAGCCAGGGGCTGACGGAGCCCACAGAAGATCCTCCTCTGTCAGCCCTGGCTCACAGACTTCACCGTCTAGCAGGTTTCAATTCATTCACTCAACAAATCAGTCAGCAAACATTTATTGAACATCCACTGTGTCCTAAGCTCGAGCTGAGAATTGAGGATGCAATGGCAGATAAGACTCCTTCTCACAGCCAGCACCCATGATGAAGCTCACCAACTAACGGGGGACAGGGGTAGGGCAGGTGCTCTGGGACAGGGCTCTGGGAGGGGAAACCAAGAGGTGGTGGGAGCCTGAGTAGCAGTGCCGGCCACAGGATGTGTCTTCTCTCAGGGATCTGAAAATGACAACTCACGCTCTAGCCCAGGGTTGTCATGATTATCTCCAATACAACTGATCAGGCATCATGGATTGAGAGACCAGACAGCAGGGGCTTTGGGGCAAATGTGCTTAGTGCTGCTGCTGACTAGCTGTGTGACCTTGGGCAAGTTGCATACCCTCTCTGGGTCTCCATCTCTCATGTATAAATAGGAACAAAGACCTAGCACCCTCAAAGGCTTGTCCTTGTACGAGGGGCAAGGCAGAGCCCAGGAGCAGGGCTTGTACTTCGAGGAGATGGGAAGGGGCTGTGTGGTCATAGGTTCTCAGTGAAAACCACTCCCTCAGGGGGCACTTAGGAACGCCAGGACCGGCTGGACTTGTCCTGTCCACGGCTGGCTTCCCTGCCGCCTGAGTCTCAGGCGTCTTGTTGGCAAGAGGATGTGCCACGTTCTTTGTTTTCTCTGATTATCTCTGTCTTGAAATGTTAACCTCAGAGATTCATTCATTCACCTCTCCTTTCAGCCTCCGCCGTATTCCTTGACTCCCTTTGGGAGCAAGATTCCTTGAAATGGTGTCCCTGCTAAGGGGATTAAATGTCACTTCCCCTCTTCTCTTGCACCCGCTCCACGGACCCACCACTGTCGAACAGGAGCAGCCATATCGAGACCCCCGTGGCCTCCATGGGGCTGAGGTCCAGTGCTTGCTGTCAGTCTGTGCCTTGCTTGGCCAGGGAGTGGTCAGCTCCACTCCCTCCTCCCTGCCGCCCCGTCGCTCTCCAGCCTCCCCTGCTCCTTCTCCGGCACCTGTCTGTTCTCCTGCAGTCCTGACTTGTTACCACCGACTCCTGTGGCCTCGGGGGCTTTGAGCCTTTCTGTGTTCTCTCTGCACTCACTCCCTTGGCGTCTCATCCATTCTTGTGGCCCCCAGATTGACGTCTCCAGCCTGTTGGCTCCCACACTCTGTATCTGCCCCACCTCCTACTGGACAAGTCCAGTAAGACGCTACCTGCAGGTCTCGTGGGCATCTCAGGCTTGATGTTGTCTGACCCTGAACTCCTGGTGTGCCCCCCAGCCTGCTTCCCATCATCTTCCCCATTGCAGGTAATGATCCCCCAACCTCCCAGAGGCGCAGGAACCTTCTGTCTCCTCACACCCCACATCTGGTCGGTCAGCACGCCCTGAGGGCTCCGTCGTTAGAATTTGCCCAGAAGCAGAGCTGTTCCCATTACTCACTGCGCCCTCCCTGGGCCAGGCCCTCATCATCTCTCACTGGATTGCTACCCTGCTTCCCCCTTGTCCTTGTACAACCTGGCAGGTTGGAGGATCCTTTGGAACCGTGATCAGATCGGGCACACCCCCAGCGGAACCTGCAGAGCCGTGGCCTCACCCGGAGTCACGCCAGAGTCCTGGCCTCGGACTTCACAGCACCCTGGCCCCTCAGCTCCCTGGCCCGTCTTCCTCCCGCTCTGCCCCGCCCTCCCTCAAGCACACCTGGCCGATCCTGCTTCAGAACCTTGACACTTGCTGCCCTCTAGGCCCAGAACGCTTTTCTGCGCAGGCTGTATGCTTGCTCCCTGGTCGCCTCCAGATTAAGCCTCAGAGCTTAGCCTCCTCGGAGCCTGGGAGAGTGTCAGGATGGTGCGGTGGTGAGGAGCCCAGAGGCCAGGGCAAAACTGCCTGGGTTTGAACCCAGGCTCTGGCACTCACAGACTGTTATTTCTCTCTTTCCTCTTCAGCCAAATTGTGATCATGACCATACCTACTTCCAGAGGTCATTGTGCAGAATAACCGAATTGAAATACATAATAGCCTCAGAATAGGTGCTTCATGCAGTACAATAGTATAAGAGGATTGCGAGGTATTTGCTGCTATTATTATGATGGACTTAACTCAGATTGGGGGCCTCAGCAGGGGCAGAGAGCAGCGCTGGTCCTCCAACAAGAGGACAGGAGGAGGCAAGGAAGGAGGAAGGGATGGCCCCCTTCCTGAGGCAGCAGAGGTCCAATGTCCTTTCTCCAGAACAGGGCTGGGCATTTAGCCTCCCTGCCAGCCTTAAACGGATGCTGGGGTTGCCCAAACCAAGTGCCCTCCCGACCTTGCCCAGTGATCCTTAGCAGCCTCTTTATAGCCAACTTCTGACATGAGGGCTGGAGATTTGGAATCAGTGTAAGGAGGGCTCTCCTAACAGAGTGGAGGACAATGAGACTGGCTGCCAAAACAGGTAGTAAGTGGCCCATCCCAGGGCGGGTGTAAAAAGTAAAACAGCAATTGAGAGGGATACAAAATGTTTATTCACACCTGCCCCATCCAGGCCCTGTGTTGGGTGCCAGGCACAGTGAGATGAGTAAGACACAGGCCCTGCTATCAAGTTACTCTGTCTAGTGGGAAGGGACCTGCTATGCCAGGAGACAGAAGACCATAGTATGATCAGGACTATAATGGGACCTGAGCAGGGTCAATGGGGACCTGGTGACAGGGAGCCCAAGAACCCAGACAGAAACGCTAGGAATCAGTATCTGTGTGTGATGACCAGTCCGCAGATAGGACTTTCCCACTTGGAGGCCGTTCTGAGCCTCATCCCTGGGGAGGGTCTGGGTAGGGGCTTCTGTTTCCATTTCCCAGAGGAAGGTCAAGGACGAGGTGCAGGAGCTGGGGGAAGGGGGCTGCCCTCCTTGTGCTGTTGTTACTGTTAGGACTCACATCCGCCCTGCTCCGCCCACAGATACACAGCCCCTGGGCAGCCTCCTCGCTTTTGCTCTGGCCGGTCTCCTGGTGCTGGCCGGCGGGGCCCTCACTTGCCTCATCAGGTGAGACTCTGTCTGCGCTGGAGCTTAATTCTGCCCCTCGATGCCCCCCACCCTGCAGGGCCTCTCTTCCGTGGGCACACCTGGCCACCCGCAGGAGACTTTCCTATTCTCCATCCCAGCACCTCAGGTCTGCCCAGAACTCCTGTCCGTCCTAGAGCCTCGGTCAGGGCCCTGTCGAGGCTGGGGTGCCTCCCGAAAAGGTCCATTTGAAGGTTGGGGAAGAAGCCTGGGACCTTACACAGGACTGTCCCTCGCTGAGCTTCAGGCTATGAACATGGACCAGGATGACTCCCCTGGGCACCTTCAGCATTGAAAACAATTCTTCCTGGGTCTGAAGTCCTCTGTGTTCCCTGAGCCTCAGCCACACCTGGGAGGGATGGCTCTCCACGCCCAGCCCTCACCCCAGGCTCTGATCACCTCAGAAAGCCCCCAGGTAATTTGGGAACTCGCAGGCTAGGGACCAGCAGGCATATCAGGCCAGGGGGCGAGCCCTGAGCTGGGGCCGAGGGTCTCTGCAGGAGGAAGTGCTCAGCGGAGCCCTCCCAGCCCAGCTGGGACTGCCGGGGAGACAGGTAGAGGGCTCCGGGGTCAGCGCAGGTCCAAGGGACCAGATCAAGGTGGGAGTGACGTGTGTGCCATCCCTCTGCCCTCCACTTTCTCTTGCCTCCAGATTGGGCATCCAACAGCTGCAGCTGGTGCGGGGCCCCCACCGGATCCTGCCGACAGCCCGGGAGCTCACCTTCATCCAACGGCCCCCAAGCAGACGGGTAGGTGGGGCAGGCACCGGGTTGGCTGGGCAAGCCACTGACTGAAGCCTGGCCAGGCTCTTGACCATGCCTGCTCCCTCCAGAGGCTGCACATGGAGAGCGTGAGCGAATCAAGGAGTGTGGTGGATGGCGGGAGCCTGAGGTCGGTGGCCCAGGGGTCAGCCAGGAGCCTGCCAGCCCCCCAGGAGCCCGCCAATGTGGCCCTGTACCAGGTGAGGGCCTCTGCCACCCCATGTCCAGGCCTGAGGAGCTGCAGTCAGTTTGGGAGAAGCCGAGGGAGCGCATGGCCTCTCCGTCGTCGGTATGCCCTACTCCTGTTATGGGATGGGAAACTGAGGCTTGAAGAGTTGATTTCTGGTGATTTCGGTGATTTTCCTGGGTCCCACAGCAAATCAGTGGCATGGTAAGAGTGGGAAGCAGGACTCCCAGCTCCCAGTTCAGCATGGTTCGTGATCGGACCTTGAGAAACAACCAGTTCCTGGCCACTTGGGCCTGAGCACTCCCGGCATGGGTCCACCCCAGGGCTTCTAGCCTAGGTCACCCTCCTACCTGTTTTGGCAAGGGACAGTGAGATTCCAGGTCCCGGAGGCTCAGAGGTGTGGGCCGGCACCCAGCCCCAGACAGCCTCTGGGCAGAGCCTCGCCACCAGCTGATAGGGAGGCTGCAAAGTCAGAGATTAGACCAGCAGGATTCTAAAGTTGCTGAGGATGCTGTGGTTTCTCAGGTGCTGTGTTCGCAAATTCAACAATTCACTGATGCTCCCATTCTCATATACCGTGACTCACGATTGATGAGCCGGGCTAATTGTACAGGAAGCGACATGAGGCTCAGGCTCCTTCTTTTCCACCTTCTCTGCAGGGGAATCCCATCTTGTTTCTTTGATGCTGAAAGGAGGCTTTAATGATGTACACAGCGTGTTTTGTCTGCTCCTCTGAGTTAGCTGACGGGCCGTGCGTGTGGCTGAGGAGCCAGAAACCCATCGGTGACAGGGAACAAAAGGGTGAAGGCTGCAGCGAGCTCTGGGTCAGGCCAGGGCGAGGACAGAGCCCCAGCCCGAAGCTTCCTTCTCTCCCACCGTACCCTCTCCTACGAGCCCTGGGTCACAGACCGCCCTCCCCAACCCCAGTCACTTCCCAGGCTTTGGGGTATCGTGGGTGCCTGAGGCCTGCAGAGTAAAGCTGACCTTGAGACTGGGAGCTAACATGCTTTATATGCACCAATTGTTAGCCCTTGCGTTGTGGGTGGGGGTCTCATCTTCACTTTACGGAGCTGGAACACGCGGCTCAGAAAACCAACGTCTCTTATGCAAGGTCACAGAGCCAGACAGTGGCGGAGTTAGGACTGAACGCAGGTCTGTCAGCCAAAGCCGGGCCCCTGGCTTTGCCCCACCAAAGTGAAAGTCTAACTTTGGTTTCCGCTGGCCAGGCTCTGCCTGGCTTGGAGCACACAGAAAGGATACATTTATGGGGGAGAAGCTGAGGCCAAGAAACACCGAAGGATTTACCCAAGGCCACACAGCTGCGGACCAGCAGCAGTAAACTCTTGTTCTTCCTTAACAGGGAGAGTGGGTGTGGCTGAAGAGGTCTGAAGCCCCTGAGCTGCGGCCCAGCTGTCTCAGCCTCCTGAGAAAGGTAGGGCTGCCGAGGGGGTGGGGGGCGGGCTGTGGAGGGGCTGCTGCCAGGAGACCCCTAGGGGTATGAAGTGGGCCCCACTCAACGTAGAAGCTTCTGGCCCTCAGGACGGAGTCCTTCCTATAGTCACAGTCCCTGCCCCATGGCCGACCCCTCAACCACTGTTATACACAATCACTGTCATCTTCACACACCGGTATCCCTACAGTCACATCACACCCCAACATGGCCATCACCATGACCACCAGAGGCGAAGGACCCCATCCCGTGCCCTCCAACCCTCCACCCATCCACCCATTTATTCACTGTGTATGGAGCACCACCTATGTGCCAGGCCATGTTCTGGGTTTTGGGGGTACAACTGTGGAGATGAGGGACAGGGTTCCTTCCTTCAGGGAGCTTCCAGTCACTTGTTCATCACTAACCACATGAGCGCCTTCACTCCTGAGGTTGCCACCATCCCGAGAGGCACTGTGGGCTGGAGGACAGAGCACAGGGTTTGAGTCAGGAAGGTCCTAATGAGAGTTCTGCCTCCGTGAAACGCTTGGCTTTCCTGTAAGATGGAACTAATGAAGTCCACTCCCGGGGAAGTATGAGGATTGGAGAGAACATATGAAATAACCTAGAACTGTCCCTGGTTAGCAGTGTGCCTTTGATAAATGGTGAATTTTATTGTAATTATTTCCTACATGACCACCATCTGAAATCAAGTTTGGAAAGATTAAGTGACTGGAGGCGAGGGTAGGCCTGACCTGGTGGGCATCTTGCAACCAGAGTGAATAGATGTTTTTTAAAAGAAAGAGTCCTAGATGTGGTCAAATAAGTTTGGAAATTGCTTGAGTTAGCCATCGGGCTTTTCAGAACCTTCAATATGTTCTGGTTATCTATGACCATGTAATGAAATGTAGTGGCTTCAAACAATAATCATTTTTATGATACACTTGTGTGGGTAGGAAATTTGGGCAGGGCCCGGCTGAGCAAGTCCTTGGTTCTATTTGGCATTGGTTGGGGGTCACTCAATGGTATTAGGCTTTAAATGGGCTGTCAGAGGTTGGCAAACTATGGCCCACAGGCCTGTTTTTATAGGAAAAAGCTTTACTGGAACTCATGCGCATTCCTTTACATATTGTCTATGTCAGCTTTTGCCCGCAGATGGCAGAGGTAAGTATTTGTGACAGAGACTGTATGGGCTGCAAAGCCTAACATATTTACGAACTGGACTTTTACAGAGAGTTTGCTGACCTCAGGTCTAGAGGGCCTAAAATGGCTTTACTTACACGCTTGGTTACTTACACACGTGGCAGGGCATTTGGAAGTGTGGGCTCAGCCAGACCTGACTTTCCACTCTGTGTAGTCTGAGGGCCTCTCCACGTGGTCTCTCCAGTGTGATGACTCTGGGTAGAGGGACTTCTTACAGCCATTCAAGGCCCCAACAGAGAAGGCTCCAAGAGACAGAAAATAGGAGCTGCCAGTGTCCTAAGAACCAAACCCGAAATGCACAAGACCACTTCTACCGTGTTCTGTTGGTCACAGCCATCACAGGACTCGCTCAAGGGGAAAGGACAGACGTCCCGCCTCTTGATATCAAAGGATTGAGGCCATTCTCAACTCACCAGATATATTAATATGATTGTGACCTCCATTCTCCATTCAGGTCTCCCCCACTTAGGTGACGCTTGAACTGTTTTTGTGAGGCGGTCCCCACCAAATAAGGCTTCCGTCTCTCTTGCTTGGACAAATGTTAGCATTGCTGGTTAGGTTGGAGCTCTCTGACCAGCTGGGCGGCCATCAGGGAGGCTGTTTTCTTCTTGAGGCTGATCCCTTCTGTTCTTCTTCCTCTCCTCATCAGTCCTTGAGTCTTGAGGGGAAAGAATGTACAGTTTTCAGGTACATGGTGCCACCTAGCTTGGGGAAACAGGCCTAGATGCCTATACTGTGGAGTTGGCTACAACTTACTTATTTACCCATGACATTTCCACTCAGTTTTTCACCTACTTATTCATCTGTCCATCATCTGTCCATCTATCCATCCATCCATCCTCCATCATCCATCCATCCATCCATCATCCATCATCCATCCATCCATCCATCCATCCATCCATCCATCCATCATCCATCATCCATCCATCCATCCATCATCCATCCATCATCCATCCATCTATTCATCCATCCAACCATCCAACCATCCATTTATCTATCCATCCATCCATGCATCCATGCATCCATCCATCCATCATCCATCATCCATCATCTATCTATCCATCATCCATCCATCCATCATCCATCATCCATCATCCATCATCTATCTATCCATCATCCATCCATCCATCTATCCATCATCCATCATCCATCCATCCATTTATCTATCCACCCATCCATGCATGCATGCATGCATCCATCCATCCACATCCATCCATCCATCCAACATTTCTGGTGTCTCCCTGTGCTCTGCCCTGTGCTGGGTGCTAAATACTAGAGGCCCAGATGTGGGTTGTACCTGGTCCAGCCTTTGACAAGCTCCTGGGGGTTGCTACTGTGCCCATTGCCCCAACAGATGCGGGAGCTGAGGCATGAGAATGTTGCTGCCTGCCTGGGCGTCTTTGTAGCCACTGGGGTTAGTGCTTTGGTGCTGGAGCACTGTGCCCGGGGCAGCCTGGAGGACCTGCTGTGGAATGAAGCTCTGCGGCTGGACTGGACCTTCAAGGCCTCTCTGCTGCTGGATTTGATCCGTGTGAGAACCTTCCCCGGGTCTGGAGCTATGGGGAACATGGGGAGGGCAGGGAGACAAGAGATGCTCAGATTTCCAAGACCTGGTCTCTTTCCACTTTGTCTAAGAAAAACTTGAACAGTGTGGGAAAAGGTGAGAGGAGGCAGGAAGGGTTTCTAGGGTCTGTGGGATTCTGAGAGGACCAGGGGCCCCTTTCATTCATCACAGGCCTTATGGACCACCATTATGTCCACTCCAGGGCATGCGGTATCTGCACCATCGGCATTTCCCTCATGGCCGCCTCAAGTCCCGAAACTGTGTGGTGGATGGACGCTTTGTTCTCAAGGTCACTGACCATGGTTATGCGGAGCTCCTGGATGTTCAGCGGGCTCCCCGCCCCCGGCCAGCCCCAGAAGGTCAGCTCAGGGGTAGGCAGGGGCCACCAGTAGGTTCTGAGGCCTCTGTTTCAATTGGATGCTTATAAGTCAGGGGGAGGGCGGAGATGTCCAATCCTTCAGCACCTCCCGTGGTGTCACCTTGAGCTGCCTCCAGCCCCTTGCCTGTGAATGGGGGAGAACAGAAGCACCTACATCCTCCTGGGCAAGGACACCACATGCGTGAAGCGCCCGCCCATCTCAGCCCAGCTTGGGGGTCGGTGGGTGAGGACGGTGTGGCTCTGCCCTGGGACCGCAGAGCTGCTGTGGACGGCTCCGGAGCTGCTGCGGACGCCGGGGGCGCCTGGGCGGGGGACCCTCAAAGCAGACACCTTCAGCCTCGGCATGGTCCTGCAGGAGGTGCTGACCCGAGGCCCACCCTACAGCTCCTCGGGGCTCTCCGCAGAAGGTACGGCACCCCTGTCCTCCTTCCTCGGCCTTCCCCTGGCTGGAGTCCCCATGCAGTTGGGGAGCCCCGTGGCCATCAGAAAATCCAGGAATGACCACACAGACACACTTGGCCTGGTTTGACCGTGAGAATTGAGTTTCTTTGGCTTAAGCCAGGCAGCCTTCAGCAGCTCTGCCAAAATGGCAGCTGACCAGCTCTGGGGCTGAAGACATTGGTTTCTGGGAGAAAACCTCCACCCCCTTCTGCCTCTTCCAGGGTCATTGTGGTGTCTGTGGGTGCTCCTGCCCTAACCAGCCCCTTGCTTAGTGCCGACCCTGTGCTCATGCAGACCTCCGTTTTCCCCAGCTGTGTCACTTACTTACTACGCGACTTTACACAAATCACTTCCCCCTCTCCGGCCTCAGTTTTCTCATCTTTAAAATGGGGATGAAATAAAAAATGGGCCAGACATCTGGCCCATGTCGGATGTGGCTAGGCCGCTCAGTATTTGGGGGCTTGCTTCTCTGTCCAGGTGGGGCTCCTTCAAAAGCATCTCATCTCCTTCAAGGTGTGCAGGATCCTCACTCATACCTTCCCCATCATTACCCGGTCTTAGACATTTTCTTCTCTGACCCCAGTGCCAGGGCCCGACTTCAGAAACATTTCCTCCCCCTTCTGTGTTGTTCTTCTAGCTGTCCCCCTGCTGCCTGTGTCCAGTCCCAGGGACCTGTCCCCACAGACAGCCTGGCATCTCAGCCACAGGGCAGGGCAGCGACCAAGCTGAGCCCTCCATCCCCTCCCACCCCCAGGGGATAATCTAACTCAAGGGAGGCCTGGCTCACTTCCTTTCTCCACCGTAGCGCTGCTCAGTGACTAATGAGCATTCCAGGCCCCAGATTTATGAGGTGGAGGAGCGGGGAGGAGAGGGGCCTTTGTCAGGCCATTTGTTTAACACTCCTCAGCAGCCTGGCCCCCCCGCATTTGCCCGCCAGGAGAGGGGAGACCGGCCAGACAGAGTGTGCAAGCCAGGCTGCCAGGGCACGGCCCCTCGGGCCTGGACTCCGTGAGGTTCTAGGGGAAGGGACCAGGCCTGGAATCCTTGGATGGTCACCACTGGATTGGGCTGTCAGTCCAGGGCCTGCTCCTTCCTGGGCAGGGGGTGCCCTCCCTGGTCTCAGGGAGGAAAGGCAAAGAGCCCAGGTACTGGGGGACACTGGCCTAAGTCTGAAATCCCTTTCAGGGTCCGAGCCTCAGTTTCCTCATCTGTAAAATGGGGACCAAACATGGTCTGGACTAGAAACCAGCAGCAGGGGGACAGCTAGAAGAACATACCTGCTTCCCAGAGTGGTTGTGAGGATTCAGTGAAGTTCTTTACACAAAGTGTCTGACCCCTGGTGGGCACTCTATAAATATTTGCCTCAGTGGTTTTAGGGATGTGCTGATGGGGGACCCCACATTCTCTCCTGACTTCCCAACTTGGAAACAGACCCTCCTCGCTCTCAGAAATAACATCTTTTCAAGATCCTGTGTGTGTGGGGGGACACCTGCAGCTTCCAGAGCTCTGTCATATGCATTATTCCACTGGACAACCTCGTGAGGGGGTAAGGGCATTCTTTTGGGATAATTGGTTGAGGCTCAGAGAAGGGAAGGGACTTCTCAGCGGGAAGCAGTGGGTCTGTGCTCTTGCCCTCAAATCTCCTGGAGCCATCCATGGAGCACATTCCCACAGAGCTGGACGTGCAGTCCCCTCCTGCAGCCACTGACATGGCCCCTCAGTCACAGTGATACGGTGTTGCATTGGGTGTGCGTGCCTGGCGTGGTGAGGGAACGCGACACCCAGCCTGGCCTGGGCCGGTGGCTTTCAGCATGTTCACGTATGAGGACTCCACTTTAATGTCAAAAACGTTTGGAGCCTCACATGCTACTATTTGATTTTTAATATCCGCTGACTGAGACAATACCCCAAGACAGAATCTGCTCTGAAATCAGCAACACTTTGAAATGGATTTGTATGTTATTCATCCCAACACCATCCGAATACTTTTTGAAAAAGAGTTGTACGTGCGTGTGTGATGTATTATTGAGTCCATCTGCATACAGCTTTCCAGACCCTTTACCCAGAGGCCCTCAGGGTCTGCTGCCTGCAGGCTGGAAGCCTCTGGGCAAAGAAAATCATGCAGGAAGAGATCAGGCTCAGATCTAGAGTTTGCTTCTTATCAGCCCTGTAGCTGTACATGAGCTACTTCACTCCCAGGAGCCTCAGTTTCCGTATCTGTAAAATGAGACAGGGACTCATGCCCTGTCCCCAACCAGGGGGCCAACAAGGAGTGGGGAGGGGATTGAAATCCAGAAGGAAGCTTCTCCTCAGCGCCATTAAGGGCTCCCACCTCCTCGGCCAAGAGAGGAGGACCCTAGTCCTCCTCAGGAAGTAACCTGCTGTACCCCTCAGCCCTAGGAAGTCTGTACTATTTTATGCCCTTTTTATACATGAGTAAACTGAGGCTCAGAGAAGTGACATAGCTTAGAACGTCAGTGGGGGATCTAGCAGTCCCCTCCTGATCTCAGCCCCACTTCCTCCCAGTGCCCCTTGTGAATCTCTCAGCTCCCCCAATGTCTCCAATAGCTTCCCGAGGCAGAGCTTTTTCAAACAGTTGTTAGATGGGGAAACTGAGGCACAGAGCGGTGGCAAGTAGCAGAGCCAGAGCTAGAACACTGATCTGTTGGACCTCGACTTAGTCTGGTGGTCTTTATTACAGGGAGTGGGGGTGGGAAGATCATGGCAGTGGCTGTCTTGGGAAAATAATAATGATGATGATAATGAAAGCAGACAGTCTTGTTTCTTACCCGGGGAACTGGCACCAGAAAGTCTCCAGGTGACAGGGCTGGTGGAAGGAGCCACAGCGTCAAGGTCTCAAGCACATCGGTGGGCATTGCTGGCTGGCAGCAGCAGCTGGGTTTGGGGGTGGGGGAGAGCCTGCTAGGTTCTCTCTTACCTCTGCACCCCTCTTAAGAAGGCGGTTTATTAAGCTCATTTCACAGATGGGAAGACTGAGGCTTAGAGAGATCTCTGTCTTGTCCACCATCTCCTGGAGACGTCGTAGCAGATTCAGAATTTAAAACCTGCTCTTCCAGCTCCTAGCGTGAGGCACGGGTCACATCCTGGACAATCCTGGGTCCACTGGCCAGGATGCTCTGCGGTACAGAGCAGGGGAGCCAAGGAATACCCTCAGGGCCCGGTCTCTGCATCCCCAAAGGCCTCCCCTGCCTTCTCTCTCAGGACCCCAGGCCAACCCCTTCCCACGAGCCTTGCGGGGGACCACGAGCCTAACATGCACATGGCGTTTATTGCAGAAATCATCAGTAGGGTGGCATCACCCCGTCCCTTGTGCCAGCCCCTGGTGTCCGCTGACCATGGGCCACCGGAGTGTATCCAGCTGATGCAGCAGTGCTGGGAGGAGGCTCCGGAGGACAGACCCAGCCTAGACCAGATCTACACCCAGGTCAGTGCTCCCCAGGCCAGTGCTCATATGAAATGGCTCATCAGTTCACCTCACTTTGCCCAGCGGGAGCCAGACACTACCGCTGGGGCCAAGAAATCCTATGTAGTAAGGGTGCGCAGGCCAGCACCACCATTCTTTTTTTTTTTTTTTTCTTAAGATTTTATTTATCCATTTGACAGAGAGAAACACGAGAGAGAGGGAACACAAGCAGGGGGCGTGGGAGAGGGAGAAGCAGGCTTCCTGCGGAGCAGGGAGCCCAAGGCGGGGCTCGATCCCAGGACCCCGGGATCATGACCTGAGCTGAAGGCAGATGCTTAACCGACTGAGCCACCCAGGCGCCCCCAGCACCACCATTCTGGAGGGCTGGACCTGAGGTCCACCCTCTGAGGAAAACTTTCTCAGAGCCCTGGGTTCCAGGGATATTTGTTGAGTGCCTTCCTAAGTGCCACGCCCCACGCTTAGTGTTATGCTCACTTCATTTAATCCTTATAATAGCCCTCCAAAGAAGTACCCGTATTATCTTGGCCTCCTAGGAGGCACAGAGAGGTGAGGGGCTCCCCCAAGGTAACTCAGGGAATGACAGGTGGGGCTGGAATCCAAACTCGGGTTTGTCTGTCTGCCGAGCTGGTGCTGGAAACCTCGACCCTCACCGGGCCCCCCGGCACCACAGCAGAGGCCCTTTGTGGCCGTGGACGCAGCGCTGGTGCCCCTTGTCCATGAGTGGAATTTGTGAGGGGCACGGGTGCATCCCCGCCCCCGGGCCTACCTTGGGAACTGCAACAGGAGGGGTGAGGCAAGCCCGTACGAGTTTGCGGGGTGGAGGTGGAGTGTGTGGGCCTGACTGAGCTGGCTAATGGCTCCCACGGGACCAACCCCTCAAGCCTGAGGTGACAGCTTCGTGCATCCCCTCCTCCCCTCCACTCCCCAGTCGCGGTGGCACGTTGCCAAGGAGAGGCTCAGCGAGCGAGAGGGGCGTCCAGACAGGTGATGAGGGAGCGAGATCCAGGAAGACAGACAGGAGAAATGCACAGGTGTCCTCCGAGAACCCTCCCCACATCCCCCCGACTTCCCACACCCTCTCCCCACCTCAGCTCTGGCCTCAGGGGCGGTGTCCCCATCCCACAGAAATCTGGGTCTCAGTAAATGAGCTCTCAGTGGCCACAGTGAGGGCGGGTTGCAGAGCTAGGACCAGCAGCCAATGCTTCAAACACGAGCCTGGGATCTATCCAGGGATCAGAGACTGCGGAGGCCAGTGGTGGGTGACTGTGAGGAAAGATCCTGCCCAAGGCTCTGGGGCAGAGAAGGCAGGCGTGGGCACGTGAGAGACAGCATGAGGGTGGGAATTGCATCTCACTGTGGGGGCCAAGGGCCAGAATGCCTGCATTCACATCTATACTTCAGTTCGCCTCCTTGACCTTGGGCAAGTTGATTGCTCTGTTGAGCTTCAACCTCCCTAAAAGTTGCCCAGAAAGACGAACTCTGGCCCGAATTGCCATACCGGAGTGACCATCAAGTGAGGGAACGAAGTTAAAAACATGGTGGTTCTCTGAGAAAGAGAGTGAGTGAGGTCTTAGAGAAAGAACGTTGACCTCGAAGTCCAAAGGCTTGGGTTCGTGTTCACTTGACATTGTTCTGGGAGTCCCAGCTAATGCAATTACACAAGAAGATGAATGTTAGAAAGGAAGAAGAAAATGATTGCTATTTGCAAATCCTATGATTGTGTTCCTGGGCAACCCGAGGGAAACAATGGAAAACACATCCCAAATTTTAAAATAATTCAGTGGGGTGGCTGCTGATAAAATTAACACAGGAGAGATCTCAGTTTGAAACTCAGTTCCACCCTTATGAGGTCCTTGGCAAGTATTGTACCTCTCAGATCCTTTGTTTTTTCATTTGTATAATGGGGGCCTTCCTTGCAGAGGTGAACTTCCCGTCAGCATTGTGTCCTTGGTGTCTCAAGGTCAGCAGCTGTCGTGCCCACCCTGACTGACCTTTAAAGCTTGTGCCTCTGCTTTTTTTTTTTAAGATTTTTTATTTATTTATTCATGAGAGACAGAGAGAGAGAGAGAGAGAGAGAGAGAGGCAGAGGGAGAAGCAGGCTCCCAAGGAGCAGGGAGCCCGAGGTGGGACTCGATCCCAGGACCCTGGGATCATGACCTGAGCCGAAGGCAGATGCTTAACCATCTGAGCCACCCAGGTGCCCTGTGCTTCTGCTTTTAACGGGCAATACAAAGTAGGTGGGCATTAGGGGCTGCTACTGCTCTTCACCTTACAGATGTTTGGTATTAATGGAGGCTGGATATGTACACCTACACACACACACACGTGTGCACACGCATGCACATAACACACACACACGCACACAAAAGCTAAGCTGCTGGATTTAGACAGGAATGGACTCCTTCTCTTTGACCATCATTAATTTGCATGTCTCCCACTGACTGCACTTTGGAAAGCTGTGAACCAGATTGGGGAAGGTTCTAGTAAACCTCCTTAGGGAACACACTGCCATATTTCCCGCAAGTTTTTCATGGAACGTATGATTTATGACCACACATGAATGTCCTCTTATGAAGACCTATGTGAGTTATTTCTCTCTGTGCAGCAACCAGCGGTTGTGTTTCTTTTGAGCAACCACCTTAAGGCTCCACTGTCTCATGGACTCTGTGGATTGTGTAATCTCTATTTCCTTCTTTGCTTTGTTGCTAGGAAGCTCATATTCAAAATTGTGACCAACTTCTAGCATGCATTTTGCTGGACCAAAGTAGCATGAATTTATTCTTCTTTGGTCCCAGTATCCTTACCTATTTATTATTTTATTTTGTAAAAAAGTTTTTTTTTTTTTTTGCACAAGGAGAGAAATGGAGAGGTAGAAATGATTATGTACATAAATAGTCTACATACATCCTTTCTATCTACCCATCTGTTCATCCACCCATCCATCCTTCCATCCATCATATCTACCCATCTACCTAACTATTCTTCCATCCATCCATCCATCCATCTTTGAGAAGAACAAAGAATGTCTCTCCTACAGTGTTGTTGTGAGAACCAGAGCAGTAGGGTTAGTGGTAATGCTATGCTGGGCATAGGCTCCTTTGTAAAGTCATCTCCCTGACTACCTGCCTCATAGAGAACTAACTCGCTTTTCCTCCCGGCTGTCTGTGCTTTCTCTTGTTGGAGCCACCATCCCTTGTCTGTTCCATACCTGCTCCCCACCAGTGGAGCTCCTCCGGGCAGGGACTATGTCTGCTTCATTCCTGTGGCTGAGATTTCCAACCTGAGAGCGAGTGTGCTGACCTTTGTGGATGAATTGGGATTTTTGTTCCATTTTCAGTTCAAAAGCATCAATCAAGGCAAGAAGACCAGTGTTGCTGACTCTATGCTGTGGATGCTGGAAAAGTATTCCCAGAACCTGGAGGACCTGATCCAGGAGCGGACTGAAGAACTGGAGCTGGAGAGGTAGAAGACAGAGAGGCTGCTCTCTCAGATGCTCCCACTGTGAGTGGCCCCTTAGGACTCGATTGTGCCTCTAGCCTCAGTGGCTCTGAGCCTGGGACCTGGGACAGAGTAAATGCTCAGTAAATCTGGGCTCCCTAAATTCATTCAACTTATTCATTGTTTATTTATCTAACACATTTTCACAGAGCCCTTATATGTACCAGGCACTATGCTGGACTTTTAAGTATTCATTCTGCTACCTCGCTCCCTTGAGAGCAAGGAGAGGGTGCAGTGTCCCCCATCTGACTTCAGAGGAAGTAAAGTCCAGAGAGGGACAGGTATTTGCTGGAGGGCAGCCAGCACACAAGCAGACCTGACCCAGATCCCCTGATGCTCAACCCAGGAATTTCCTCCCGAGATCCCTCCCTCACCGCCAAACTGTGGGAAGGGGGTCCTCCCACTTTGTGACTCTGGTCCTTCCCGTTCCTTCAGGTCTGTGGCTGAAGCTCTGAAAATGGGGGCAGCTGTGGAGCCAGAGTACTTTGACCAGGTCACCATATACTTCAGTGACATTGTGGGTTCCACCATCATCTCAGCCCTGAGTGAGCTCCTTGAGGTGGTAGGCTTGCTCAACGACCTCTACACACTGTTCAGTGCTGTTCTGGGAAGCCACGATGTGTACAAGGTGAGGAGACCAGGAGGCTGGTATCACATCCCTCCTTCCTTTACCGCTGCGTTTGTGTCATACATTCCCTTCTGGTCATTTATCTGTGTGTTTTTATCAGTTAGCTATTGCCGTGTAACAAATAATACCGAAACCCAGTAGTGTAAAATTATAGGCATTTGTTATTGCTCGCAAACCTATAGGTCAGCTAGAAAGTTCTCTGGACTCAGCTGGACCACTCATAAATCTGTGGGCAGTTGTGGGTGAGATGGAAAGTTCTGCTGATCTTGGCTGGGCTCTCTCACATCTCTGGAACCTTGAATGGGACAGCTCTAGCTCACATGGTCTGTCAACCTCAAGCAGGCTGGTTGATATCATTCCCATGGTGTGGCAGGGTTCTGAGAGAGAAGGCAGGAGCACAGAATCCTCTGGAGGTCTTAGCTGGGATTGGGCATGTGGCTATGTCTGACATATTCTATTGGTCAGAGCAAGTCAAAAAGCCAACCCAGGGGCACCTAGCTGGCTCAGTCAGTAGAGCATATAATTCTTGATCTCAGGGTCATGAGTTCGAGCCCCACATTGGGCATAGAGTTTACTTAACAAAAAAGGCCAACCCAGATTCAAGAGGGGGCGGAAATAAACTCCACCTGTGCTGGGCAAGAGCCAACAGAGGAGTCATCTCCTGTGCCTCCTCTCCAGGAGCTCTCAGTGCTGTAGATGAAAGAGTCAAGGTGATAATCAGGGCAGGCAGAGGAGGCTGAGCGGGCCCCCAATCCAGCTAGGGATAGATGTGTCGAGTGAAAAGCAAGAAAGTCTTCCTGGAGGAGGTGCTGTTTTCCTAGTGCTGTCCAGTCTGGGTGTGGTTGCTTCAGGCAAGCCATGGAGGAATAACGTGCCAAAGCTCGAGCCTTAAGAGCATGGGCTAGTGAGATGAGGAGTACTGAATGGGTTGAAATGGCCAGACATGAAGTGGGCCAGTGGTGGAGGGGGGGGTGGCTGGGGGACACTGGAGAGAGGAGCAGGGGCAGAGCTGTCAAGACCTTCCATGATCTAGTACCTGTGCATCTCTCCATCCTGGGTTTGAGTTCCAGCTTGGCCACCAGCATCTGTGTAGCTTCGGGCAAATGGCTTCCTCTCTCTGGACTTCTGTTTCCTCACCTATAAAACAGGAATGATGACCCCAGCCCTGGGGGTTTACAGACGATGGGCGGATCCTATCCCTCTTGAAGCAGTGCTGTGTAAACTGAGATTGTAAAAGTGACAAGCGTCCTATCCCTCCCTGCTGGCTGTGGGGACCCCACCCCAATCCTGCCCCTTATTCTCATCCACTTGCTGGAGGCCTTGGGTTGCTTCAGACACAGTGGGGATGGGATGGGGAGGGAGCTCCCCGGAAACCGCCATACTCAGACTCCACTGGCCTTAGCCTTCTTCTGCGACCCACAGTCCCCTTCCAGCCACAGCCCTCCAGGGAGGCAGGGACAGGGGAGGGCCAGGCCCTGGGGTGGAAGCCAGGACGGACAGGAGGCCTGGGCGGGAAGTTTCAGAGGCAGTCTGCTGATGGCACTACGTACAGTATCCCAACAACAATAATTGCCAGTACTTATTGAGTGCTTACTGTATACTGGACACTAGTCTAAGTGCTTTATACGTACTAATCCATTTAACCATCCTAACAATCTGTGAGGTAGGTAGTAGTGCCCCTAATGTATAGAGGAGGAAATGGGTGATTAAGGGGCTTATCTAATTACGTATTTCCAATGGGATGCGGAGCTGAGATTTGAACTGGGGCATTCTGATCCCAAGACCCCCCACCTTCAAGGGGCTCACCATCCTCATGACATGGACATCCTCAGGAGAAAGCCACAGGTTCATAGTGGCCTACAAGACCCTCCAGGAACTGGCACCACCTACCTCCCCAATGGTATCTCTGGCCACTCCATGCAGACCTCTGCACTCCTCACACCTGCTTTGCTCTCGGAGACACTAGGCCTCTGCACGTGTGATTGCCTCCTCCTGCGACACTGCTCTCCCTCCTCCTCACCTGGCTCCCTCCTACTCATCCCTGGTCTCAGGTTAGCCTCCTTCCCCTCCCAGACATGGTTAGGAGCTCCTGTGTGGTACTCTCTTAACTACCCCCGGATAGCACAGCCACACTTTATGGTTCGAACCCAAATCACTCTGTCCCCAGTGCTTGGCAATATCCAGCACATCGTAGGTCCTCTGGAAACCGATACTGACTGAGTGAGGAGCTTGCTGAAGCCCAGAGAGAGGAAAGTGACTTGCCCAAGGTCACACAGCCGGTAGGTGGTAGAGCCAGGAATCTGCAATGCCTACCACCGCTGCCCGGCTCTGTCCACTACACCACACTGCCCCCCACGGAGCCTCAGAGACCCGAGCCACCAACATTCCAAGAACGCAGCTTCCCTCCTGCTCCCTGCTTGAGAACCCGCACCCCTGCCCCAGCCCCTGGTTCGGAGGTGGTGTTGTCTCTCATGCTGGCTGAGTTTCCCTCTTGCTTCCAGAGCTGCCCTAGCCCCGTGGGCCCCAAGAAAAGATGCCTCATCTCTCATCTCATCTTGCTGAGCCCCAAGGCTTTGATGTGCCCTGAGTCACCCCTGGCCTTGTCTTTTCCTCTCCTGCTAATCTTTTCTCACACATGTGTCCCTCCCAGCTCTGAATCATGCTTTCTGATCTGCTCTGAACTCTGGCCAAGAGGTCTGCATCTTTCTGGCAGAATGATATGAAATAAAACAAGGCCCGCACACCCCTCCAGATGTGGGGAAGCAGGCAGCCTGTGGCTGACGATGTGCAAGCGTGTCTGTCATCACTCCCGCCATCCGCCTCAGTTTCCCCTCCGTCCCCAGCAGGATCTGGTTACTGCTCTTTAATCCGGTCTGGGTTGGGAGGCAGCCAGGCGATCATTTCCTGGTTCCAATGGGGTTTGTGATCCCCTGCCAGCGCACACTGAATGAGCACTTTATGGACGCAGCTCCAGCGCCGAGCCCATGTGGGCTACAGGGGCAGAGAGGCCTTACCCCAGCCACTCAGCCCCCGCAGGTGAGACCAGCCTTGGCCATGCTGCCAAGCGGACCCTGGGCAAATCACTTGACCTCTCTGAGTCTCAGGCTCCCATCTGTAAAACAGAGGGGAAAGTGCCTATGGCTTGGCATGGTTTCGCCGATCAAGCAATGTGAGAGGAAGTGCTATGGTCCCTTCACTCACCAGTGTGATGCCGATGCTGCCGAGCACCACCATGTGCAGGGGCTGAGGCCTCCCCCTGAAAGCACAGAACGGGGCAGGGGTCGGAGGTGGGGCCAGTGCCAGGTAAGCCTCTACAGAGGACTGGCCCAACCTAGGGACTATCACAGGGGATTTCATGAACCTCTGCAATGGCCCGCAGAGGCCGTTATCCCTTCAGACGCAACACAGGTTCAGAGAGGTGAGTAACTAGCCCAAGGTCACACAGCAAGTCAGTGGTGGAGCTGGAATTCACATCTCTGTTTGCTAGTGTGGAAACCTTTGCCCTCACTTCTCCTCTGGCTGTGTTCTCCCATCTGCAAAAGGACCGCACCTGTGTATACCTGTGTATACCCTTGCTTGCGGCTGAGTGCCCACGATCATAGGAGTCTTTGAGTGATCATGATTATGGATCCAAGCTCTTAGAAAGTTGGGCCTGTGCCTGGTCACCTTTCTGTCACTGGAGTTGTAGGGGTGGTTACTAATGACACCAAACTCTCCCAGCTCAGGTGGCAGGCAGATGGAGGGCTAGAGGTCAGTGTAACAGCTTAGAGAAACCACCATGCTCCTCCTCCGCAGTCTGGACCTTGGGTCACCCAACTGAGGCAGCGCTGGGTCCCCAGAGCAGATGCACTGTCCCTGAATTGCAGCCGTACGCTTGGCGGCTAGAAGCAGGGCCAGCGAGCTGTAGGTCTCCGGGGCTGCCTCTGGGAAGGCGGGGCTGACTGATACGCATGTGCTGACCACGTGCAGGGCAGTAGCAGAGGGAAACCCCACACAGCAGGCACGCTCCCCAAAACATAGAAGGAAAGGGCCCAAGCCCTGTGTATCAAGAGGCAGCACAGCATACGGGCTCTGGCGCTGGACTGACCAAGTTCAGATCTGCACTGTGTGACATTGGCAAGTGACTTAATTCTCTGGCCTGCTGTCCCCCTGTGAATTGGTAAGATTCTTGCGAAGATCTAATGCACTGATATTTGTGAAGGGTTTGGAACAGCGTCTGTCATGTAGTAGCTGCTATCCAAGTTCTTAAGCATTTAGTCCTTCCACACTTGCCAGGCAGATCACAGGTTCTTCCTCCTGTGGGGAAGAAGTGGGTGGGCAGAGGGAAAGCTGGGTGAGGGAAAGCCTCACCCCTATTTTTCCCTCCTGGGGCATGGGGGGGTGGGAGGTCTTTTTCCTCTGTGGAAAATGTACACAGTGGGGGAGTAGCCATGTCCCTGACCCCTGCCACATTCACCGCCAGCCCACCAGCGCTGGGTGGACAAGAGCAGGTGATGGAGAAGGAGGGGGAGCTCACAGCCCCGAGGAGGGAAGCATCTGGTGACCTGGAAGATTTTACAGACTCGATGAAGTGGGAGCTGGGCTGGTGGAGGGCTTGGATCTCAGCAGACAGGGACCGAGAGAGAGCATTTGAGGCAGAGGGGCCAGGCCATCAAGCAAGCACTAAGTGTCTCTGCGGTTGGCAGAAACGTTCCCATTGGCGGAAGCATGGGGCACCAGGAGCAACGGTTAGGAATTAGTCAGGAAATTCTGTAAGTCATGGGAGTTCCTCACCGCCAGCCCACTGGGAGCAAATTTAATTATCTAAACAGAATGTGGCATGATTAGGGCAGATCACTGCCTGATGTTGGGGTAGAGACAGCCTGGGTCGGGGAGAGGTTTGGGGGGGCATAGGGAGCAGGGCACAGTCCACAGCAAATGTGGGAAAGATTTGTTGAATTACAGTGCCCTCTGTGGGCGGGGGATGTATTATTATTATAATTATTATTGCCCACCGGGTGCTGAGGGAGAGCAGATGTGCAGCACCAGAAGGACAGCTCTGCTCCCCAGGTCCGGGAAGTATTTGCTGGCTGCAGGAGATGCAGTGCAGGAACTGGGCTCTTGAGCCTGGAGAGGGAAAGACTTGGCCGCGGGGGAGGGGGGGGCGTTGAGGTAGAGTCGCCTTCTTCACCTTGGCTGGCCAGGCTGGTGGCAGAGAAGGCCACAGTACACATCTGGGTCCAAACCAGAGTTACCTAGAGGAAGAAGCAGCCACCTCTAGAAGGGGGGACTTTCCTATTAACAGATGCAAGCAGACCAGGCCAGCCACTGAGGAGGCAGACGGGTGGCCTTTAAAGTCCCTCTGAGTTCTGAGATTCTGGGATTCTTTCATCTCCAACACCATCAGCCAAGAAAATGATGATGATGATGGTGGTGGTGACGGAAGTCTCCATCCATTGAGCAACTATAATGAGCCTAGTTCCTTTAAAAAAATTTTTTGGGGGGCGCCTGGGTGGCTCAGTCGTTAAGCGTCTGCCTTTGGCTCAGGTCATGATCCTGGAGTCCTGGGATCGAGCCCCGCATCGGGCTCCCTGCTCGGCGGGAAGCTTGCTTCTCCCTCTGCCCCTCCCCCGGCTCGTGCTCTTTCTCAGATAATAAAGTCTTTTAAAAAAACTTTTTTTTTAGGTAACATACAGTGTAATATTAGTTTCAAGTGTAGAATTTGGTGATTGAACACTTCCATACAACACCCAGTGCTCATCACAAGTGCCCTCCTTAATCCCCATCACCTGTTTCACCCATCCCCCAGCCACCTCCCTTCTGATAACCAAAGCCTAGTTCTTTTAATACTTTATCTTTAATGTGCATTCCACCTAAGAGGAAACTGAGGCTCGCACAGTGAAATGGTCTGCCCAAGGTAAACGGCAGAGCCAGGGATTGAACCCACGTCTCTATGATTCCCAAACCTACATTTTTTCTAGTACACCTTGGAAGGCATACTAGGTGTACTTACTTTCCAAAAGCTCCCCCCCCACCACCGGGGGAGGGTATATATGCATCCAATACGCACGTGCTCCTCTCCAGATGAAGGCCTGATCTGTCGCTGTGGCGTCGTGCAGGCGGGGTGCCCAGGTCTTGCCGCCAGGTCACGGCCTGGGGCCAGAGGAGACCAGACAGGCACAGTCAGCTCCACTTCAGACCCAAGGCGACTTGAAGTGCGCAGATCTAACTGTCGCTAGCGCACCTGGGGCGGGAGGGCCTCTAGGGACGGCACCGTGGGCCAGAGACTCGAGGGGCGGGTCAGGGCTCCCCAGAAGGGCCTTGTCTGGGCTCTGGGGCGGTCCAGCGAGGGCGTGCTCTTGCACTGGAGTGTGAAGGCTGTGGCTTCTAGGTGGAGACCATTGGGGATGCCTACATGGTGGCCTCAGGGCTGCCCCGGCGCAACGGGAGCCGGCACGCAGCTGAGATAGCCAACATGGCCCCGGACATCCTCAGCTCTGTGAGGGGCTTCCGGATGAAGCATGCGCCCGATGTGCCCATTTACATCTGGGCTGGCCTGCACTCAGGTACAAACTGGGGGCCGTGGGGGCGACGGGCCAGACCGACATGGGCTGGGCAACCCCAATGGTGTGCTTCTGGCATTCTGAGAGTCTAAAGCTCTACGATAGAAAATTTGACATTCCTCTTTTTCTTCCATTATTTGAAGGTTCTGAGATGTTATAAGTCAAAGAATCTGTGATGCTCAGTTTCATTCATATATATACATACACGCACATGTTTTGTCTCAGCCTCTGTCAGAGTCATCTGAGGCCATGCCAAGGAGCTGATAGTCTGATGGAAGAGGCAGGACAGAGACCTTCTGTGGTTCTGCCAACAACGAAATGTTTGCTGGGATGGGTCTAGGAGAGACCGAGGGGTCTCTAATACATGCTTCTCAGGCCCCCACCCCTTCCTCCCTCCATGTTCCCCCTGCAGGAAAAAATTCAAATTCCTCGCCCCCCCCCCAACAGCCTCCCAGGCCCTTGCTATTCCGTCCAACCTCATCTCCCATCACTTCCCCCCTTGCCACTCCAACCATGCTCAGCTGCTTGCCGCTTCCCACAGACAGGTGGGCTCTCTGCCCTGGGCTCCTGCCATTCCCTGCCCACTCATTCTCTCGTCCTCCAAGACACAGCTCATGCACCACCTCCTCCAGAAAGTCCTCTGGGCTGGGTCAGACCCCCATCTCTGGGCTGGCACAGCTCTGATGCTTCCATCTGACAACATTGATCACAGCTTACATGCCCCCCCCCACCAGGCTGGGAGCTCCCCAAGAGCAAAAACTGGCTCTGATTTAACTGTGTCCCCCTATCCCCGGCCCAGAGCCTGGCACAGATATCATCTCTTCTCTGGGTACTGTTGGAGACTCCATATAGCTTCATCTTCACCCCCAGCTGGAGCCCAGGAGGTGGGGTAGAGACAGCAGGGGTGGAGAGGGGGCATGGGGAAGGGCAAGACCGCCATGGGAACCTCTCTTGGGTCCAGGACCTCCTGGAACTCACTGGGCACATTTGAGTTTCAGGGCCCTGCGTGGCAGGGGTCGTTGGTCTCACCATGCCCAGGTACTGCCTCTTTGGTGATACTGTTAACACTGCATCCCGGATGGAGTCCACAGGACTGCGTGAGTGTCTTATATTTCTATCTTGCCTGGGTGAGGACTCTCAATGACCCCTGCAACCTGGCTATTTGAAACAGTGCTTAGTAACCAAACCACCACCTGGTGGCAGTGTACCTTAGTTGTCAGTAAAACAACTACATGGAGATAATGTATGTCACTGGTTCTTTTAACTTTCCATGGGGCTTTTGTGATGATCTCATGAGAGAAGACAATGACTTGAGAGGCAGGAGGCCTGGGTCCTAGCCCTGTCTGCCACTGGCTTGCTTGGTGTCCTCGAGCAAAATACTCTTCCTCTAGGCCTTGGTTTCCACATCTTTACGACGAGGAGACCCCTCTCAATTTTTTAATGCCATTTTAGGCCCTTGCTGGCAGCAGAGGCGACTCTGATGGCTTAGTTAGAGCAGGTGTAAAAGTTGGAGTCCTAGGACCTCTGCTTCTGGCTATGGAAGTCATGTGCTCCCTAATGTTGTTTGGTACATATCCTGCATGACTAGATGTGCTGGCCCTCGTGGAGAGTCTTGCTCTTAAAAGAAAAATAACAGCTTATCTGCTCTGACTCAGCCTTCACAGACTTCCCTATAAATGAAAATTATGTTCCTATGGGTTCTGACTTCATCTTGAGTTCCTCTGAACACTCGATCTATGGAATCTGCTTTTCCTCGAGGCCTCTACTTTAGTGACCAAGTCTACCAGAGGGACAGGAAGGTCAGGTGAAGGGTGTTGTAGGAATCAGAATTGTGTGCATTACTGGCTGGACCTGGGGCTGTTACAGGTCTTAATGATATTACTAAACACCAGGTATGCTGTCACCAGGTGGTGACTTGATTGCTACATTTCTTGTCAGCATACAGAATTCACGTCAGCAGAAGCACAGTCCAGACACTTCTCAGCCTGGACGAAGGCTACAGAACTGACATCAGAAGCCAGGCAGAGCTAAAGGTAGGGGAGGTTTCTTTCCTGGAATTGATGGAAAAATCCCCCCCCCCAATCCAGTTTCTGTGGGCAGCCGGAGAGATTCTTACTCATTTGACTGATAGAGAAGGAAATGCTCTGTCTGTAGTCGAGGATGGACCTGATCACCTGGACCTCATGGACCTCATCATTCCCCAAATTCTAAAAAAAAAAACATTTCTTCCTGGGAACCACTCCCTCATTGACTCCTCACAGGAAGAAGGGCCAGGGTTGAGAAGTTACTTCTACTGATGACATATGTGGACAGCAGGCTGGTGCCCAACATTAACGTATTTATTGCCACAGCAATCATGAAAGAAGGCTCACTGTCCCCATTTTATAGTTGAGGAAATGAAATTAGGCAAAGTGATTCATTCAAAGTCACATTAGCTTGTATCCCAGATCTGATGGCTCTAAAACCTGTGCTTTCTCCATAACATTGTCGGGTTCCTACTCATCCCTCAGAACCCTAGAGCAGATCTCGCCTCTCATGGAAGCCTGCCCTGACCCAGGAACACCCATCTTTGTTTTAAAGGTTTTATTTATTTATTTGACAGAGAGAGACACAGCAAGAGAGGGGACACAAGCAGGGGGGTGGGGGGGAGGGAGAAGCAGGCTTCCCGCCGAGCAGGGAGCCCGATGTGGGGCTCGATCCCAGGACCCTGGGAGCATGACCTGAGCTGACGGCAGGCACTTAACCGACTGAGCCACCCAGGCGCCCCTGGGAACACCCATCTTCCCTTTCCCCAGTGGTAGCTCTCATACCTCTCTGTGCACCCACCCCTCCCACGACCTCCTTCTGCTGCTGCAGGGTGACACTGGGTGATACCTGCCCATGAGCACCTCTGCATTCTTTTTTGCAATGTTAACATTCAATAAAGGTAATGGTTCAGTGTTCCCGTGAGTGAGTGACTTTTCTTCCTACCGCACTTCTTCTCATTGCCCCCACTCCTCAGGTACAGACAGGCCTGGTGGCAAGACCGGAGCAGCCCAGACATTTAAAGGCCCAGAACTATGACCAGGCCCTAGAAATTGTGCGCTCGGTGGAACTCACTTCATTACACTGTGAAATGTCAGAGCAGGAGGGTACAGCTCAGAGAGGGGTAGCAACTTGTCCACAGTCACACAGCCTGTGAGCACTGGCGTATGTGGAAACCTTTACTATGGAGGTTATGGGAGAGTGAGCCGGAATAAGTCTTGTTTGGGGGAGGAGGCACGAGATGTCCTGAGGAACAGAGGATTCTGATGCCAGAGGGGAATGCGGAGAAGGGGTGGGGAGGACAGCACACCAACCACAGTTCTTCAGGATGGCCTGGGGGCTCCACGGGGCAATACCCATCCGTGGCCGAATCCATGGGCCAGCCAGCCCTGGCCCCAGTGCCCCTAATGCCCCCTCTACTCCTGAGTTCCAGGCAGCCGTACCCCCATCCCAGGCAATGGGGTCCTTCGACGGTTTGGGAAAGATCACAGATCATAGCATCTTGGGATCTTAGCATTCCAGACCTGCTGGTCATAGAATTCATGATTTATTATTCAGTTACTTCTCTAACAGATAAATATTAATGCATGTAATCCTCACAGCAACTCATGAGGTACTGAGGAACAGAGAGGTGAAGTAAGTTGGCCAAAGCCACACAGCTAGCCAGTGACGGAGCCAGGATTTGGATCCAAACAGTCTGACCCCCGGCTCCAGGCTGCTCTGCACGGAGCTGTTGGGAACTGTGCCCCTTCCTCCGGCCTTGCTCTCTGCCTGCGAAGCTGGGCTTAATCCCCTGTCCTCTCTCCTCCAGGGGAAGGGTGTAGAGGAGACCTACTGGCTGGTGGGGAAGGCAGGCTTCCCTGGGTCCCTCCCCACACCTCTGGACATCAAACCTGGGTGAGTAAGAGGAATTTCCCCCAAAGCTCAGCCTTTTTTGTTTGAAGTTTGGTTTGTTCTTTTTCTGATTATAAGATTATCACCTGCCCAATGTGGAAAACTTGGAACATACACAATTCTTCAGCGATTAAATAGTCACCTCTTCCCACTGCTGAGAGACAGCCTGTTGCTGACGCGTTGGTTGTGGTTGCAGTCACGCTGCCTGGCTGGTCTCTCATTCTGATCTGCGCTCTCCATTCGGGTCGGAGCACTTCAGAAACACACGTCCCTGGCGACGGCATCCGGATCGCAACACAGGTGCTGCGCACGCGCAGTCGGCCCACTCTGAGCCGGGTCCTGGTGATGCGCTGGTAAAAAAGTGGCTGGGCGTTTGTCGCCGTTCAGACTCTTTCTGCAGATGAGGAATTTATAGATCAAAGGACACGCACATGTCAGGGGCCAAATGAGGCAGATCCTCAGAGAGCTTGTGCCTGCCTGGCACTTTGGCTCTTCCCTTTGTCCTCGGTCCTGTGTGACCCTGTGTCCTTCCCTGAGGGCAATAAGGGCGGGGTGGCGGGGGAGCTGTTACTGCGATGTGTTCTTCTCAGGCAGGAGCCAGTCCACAGAGGGCCCAGGGCAGGGCGGCCAGGTGCTGCCAATGGCTGAAAATGACAGTTTCCTAGAAATGAGAAGGTCCTGGGGCCCACGGGCCCATTGCAGGTGTGGAGGCTGAGCCCTACTAGGGTTTTCTGTCATCAGAACTTCCGACTGGCTCCCCTCAACTCTTCCAGGACGGCCCCCCACCCAAGGCTGCCCCCATCTCTCAAAGACAAGAAGTGTGTGGGACACTCGTGGGCTTCCTGGGAAAAGACCAGCACTGAAGCAGCTCAAGGGGCCCGACTGGCGGGGCCGGGGCTACTGGCAGGGAGCTGCTCACGGAGGCCGTTTCCTCTCCACCTGCTGTCAGGGTGCCCCAAGGCCATCTCGAGTGTCCTCCCCTTGACACAGAGCAGGGTCCAGCGCAGCAGGGCAGGGGTGGGGGCGGGTGGGCCCACACTGGTGTGCCCACCAGGGTGCAGGACACACAGGGGCACCCTTTTTATAAGGCCACCCCAGCCTCGTGGGTGCAGAAGCAGCTTCTGCTCACAGAAAGTCCTCCACGCAGCCCAGGGTCCTTCCGCTTCGCAGACAGTGTCTGTGTGGACAGTTTGCTGGGCAGCAGCGTGGGGTGAGGAACGCGGTGTGGCCCAGGGCCTTCCCGTGTGCCACAGCACCCTGGCTCAGCCACCTGCGGGAGAACAGCTGTGGCCCTTCGTGTCCTTTCCTTGTCCATCAAGGTGCTCTGCTCCAGCCCGCCTCTCTTGGGCCTTACACAGCAGGCCTCCTCTGCCTTACAGCCTTCCAGGTCCCGCCCCCACCGGGAGCCGCACTTCTCAGAAGGCCTGTCTGCTGACGGTGACCTCACTTCCTCACCCACCACTCCCTGCCCAGCCCCCGCAGTCTGACTTTCACCCCCACGCGCCCAGAAGACTCTGTGAAGGTCACCGGTGACCTCCATCCGTGTCACTAGATCTGCGGGCCGGTTTTACGTTCTCAACCTGACCCACAGCTCGGGAGCATTTCCCCTTTGCCCTCCCTCTTCCCAGAAACATGCCCCAGGCCTCCCAGCTGGGCTCCTTCCTCTCCAACTCACCCTCCTCAGGCTCCCCGCCAGCCAGCCCCGTGCCTCTCCCAGGCTCTGAAATGTGGGGGTTCCCTTCCCACCCAGACGCTGCTGACGTCTATCAAGGGCCTCAGCCTGACCTCCGCTCCGGAGCTCAGGGCTGTGGAGCGCTCGCTGTCCCTCAACAGATCCTTTCAGGAGCCCCACCTGGCAGCCTGGCCCTCCTCCAGAGCTCTCTCCTCGGGGGTGGCCTCGCCATCCTCCTTCTGAAAGGTGGAAGTCGCTGTCCTGGAGTCCCCAGGGCTCTGCCTCCACCACACCCCCACCCGAGGGCTCCACCTGGGCACATGTCTCCCGCCCCGGAGCAGGGGCGGCTCACCACTCCCCTATCCACTGTGCCTCTCCACCCACCACCTGGCAGCCCAAGCAAGGTCTTTTTTTTTTTTTTTTTTTTTTTTTTTAAGATTTTATGTATTTATCTGACAGAGAGAGACACAGTGAGAGCAGGAACACAAGCAGGGGGAGTGGGAGAGGGAGAAGCAGGCCGCCACGGAGCAGGGAGCCCGATGTGGGGCTCGATCCCAGGACCCTGGGACCATGACCTGAGCCGAAGGCAGATGGTTAACGACTGAGCCACCCAGGCGCCCCGCCAAGCGAGGTCTTAAGTACAAGACGAACGGGATACATAGGAAAGTCCACCGGTTAACACCCTCTGGGTCTCCCTACTGCTCTGACGCTCAAGCCCAAACTCTTTCCTGCTACCATGGAGGCCTGCTGCTCTGGGCCTGGGCCTGCCCCTGGCCTGGGCTGTCTGGCCACCTTCCACTGCACACCACCTGCTCGGGACCTCCTTGCTGTTACCTTAAAACACCCTGAACGTCTTTCTAACTCAGGGCCTTTGCGCCTGCTATCCCAATGCCCTGGCCCAGTCCCTTGCTATCCTCCAGGCCTCAGCTCTGATGTGGCTCGTTCGGCAGGCAGGCAGTTCTGATGTCACGCGCTAAAGGAAACCCTGCTGTCACCTCCTTCCCATCTCCCAGTATTGCACCCCCATAGCACTTGCGGCTTCCTGACACTTCTTTTTGATTCCTTTATGGAACTTTCCCCTGCTTACATAAGCTCCAGGAGATCTGGCTGGCGGCGGCAGATGCACCGCAGGGCTTTCAGTGCCAGGAGCCCAGGGAAGGGAAGCTCTCAAGCTCCTGCTGGCTCCCATCAGGCCCTGGCCCACCCCAACCTAGGAGCGGGAATAGCAGGTCTGGCAACCATTTGTCATCCTGAGCTCGTCAGCTGATGACTTTTCCACTCCCTGATGGAAACTTTAGAAAGTGCTAGAAACGTTTTCATCTTCTTGGCTCAGGGAGGGAAGGGAGCTGAGATGAGTCCCAGGGAGTTCCACCTGACTTGGGAGCCTCCCAGGCCTTCGGGCAGGCGGGGGAGAATCGGCTCAGACCTAGTACGGGGACACACGGGACCCACAAACATAAGTGTGCCTACACGTGTGCACACCCACATTACATCCGTCGTGGGCATCAGATACACGAACACATGGAAACGCCACCACAGGCCCTCTGCTTGCTTGGAGATGAGATCACAGACAGACCAACACA